CACGTCCCTTCTGCTCGCCCCGTCTGCACGTGGCTTCCTTCTGTGCGTGCCTGCACCTACCTGTCCTTCACAAGGACAGGAGTCCTATTGGGTGATGACCCTTTTTCCAAATAAGGTCACATTCAACATGTCTTTTTGGGGGACACAATTCAGCCCATGGAGGTGCATGACTGTGCCGCTGCCCTGACTGCCGTGAGCTGTGGCAACCAGAACATCAGACCCACGCGTGGGGTTGAGCTCTGAGCTGTCACCTCCGCTGGCGGCTCGGAGCCTGGACACCAAGGGTGAGTGGCCATGGCCCACAGCTTCACTGCCCACATTCCCCGCCCCGGGGCCAGGGACTGACTGTCTTCCCACTTCTACCAGCATGTAGACATTTTAAAAGTATTTCTTGAGTTGAAAATGTAGTAGTGTCGCTGCCTGTTAAGATCAGCATGGTCTCCTTTGGCTGTTTTGGGGCAGTGGTTAGAGTGTCCGGCCTGTGGACCAAAGGGTCCCGGGTTCGATTCCTGGTCAAGGGCTTGTACCTTGGTTGCAAGTCCCCACCCCCATAGGGGCACGTTCAGGAGGCAACCAATTGACATGTCTCTCTCACATCATGTGGATGTTTCTATCTCTCACCTCCTCTTTCCCTTCCACTCTCTCAAGAAAACAAAGGAAAGAATATCCTCAGGGTGAGGACTTAAAACAAAAGAGCAAGCATGGTTTAAAGACAAAAGGTCCAGACCCAACCCAGTGTAGCAGGAGTTGCCCTGGGTACATGCATTGAGGTGACTTCTTCCCCTTTCTCTCTTCCAACCCAGACCAACTTCCCCCCAGTGGAAGCAGAGAAATGGGAAGTTCCCAGAGCTGCCTGCGACTCTGCCTTCAGGTGAATGCTGGGGCCTCCCGGCCCTAGGCCACTCTCCCAGGCGCCAGAACCTGAGTTAGGACGCCTGGGACCAGGTGGTGGCTGTGCTCGAGGTCTTCTCTCTCCCCTTGAAGCGCTGGCCTCTGGGTTCTCCATCTTGGTGCCTGGTGCCCCAACCACCCTGAGGTCTGGCAGAATTCTCAGCCAGCAGGCCCTGAGCTGGTTGCAGGGTCTTTTGCTGGCCCTGCCCAGTCTCATGGTCACTTGTCCACCCTGAGACACAGGCTCATTGTCTCAAGGTTCTGTGGCTGACTGGGCTCAGCCGGGTGGTTCTTCTGTCCAAGTGATGTTGTGTGGGGCCACAGTCTTGGAGCTGGGCTGGAATGGCCAGGGCAGGTGGCTCAGCGGTCTGGCACCTCATAGAGGTTGGGGCTTGGCCTGGAGGATGGGGTGGCTGCACCTTTCTCTCCACGTTGGCTCAGGTCTCTGCTCCTACAGCTGAGTAGCTGGACACAGACCCATAAAAGTGCAACGTAGACGCTGCTCCTTAAGCTCTGGCCAGGACTGGCTCTGTCCTAGGTCAAGTTCAGAGTCAGATGGGCTGCCCAGGGCCCTGAACCTCAGAGTGATGGCCCATCCTCTGAATGCCTCCTTGTGGGTACTCCCCTTGAGGAAGCTGCCCCCAGCCCAGCCCCTCCCCAATGGCCCCTACAGCACTTTGTATTGACCTGGAATCACCCTACTCTGGCCTAGCCCTCAGGGAGTCATGGGGCTGCCTGCCTGGGCAGGTGGGTGATGTCCTCACAGTGACCCAGGCTGCTGAGCACATCCAGGCTGGCATGTAAAGGGATTGGGCTAATGTGTGATGCAAATACAGTTACCATTTGGCTCTGTCAAGGCGTACAGCCGTGTGACGTGAGCTGGGCAGGGAGGGGACACCTCATGGTGTTTGGAGGAGGGTTGGCCCTGTGTGGTTGGAGTGGGGGTGCAGGAGAGAGGAAGTAACATGTGAGCAGGCGGGGAAGGTGCTCCGGGCTGATGGAAGTCAAGGAACTGAAAGAGGCCAGAGCAGCAGGGAGGGAGGAGCGGAGGCTGAGGGTGGGGCTGGGCCTGCAGAGCCCCTGCCCAAAGGGCCGGCAGTGGGCAGGTGGCCGTCACTGGTGTGCATTTTCAGAAGGTCACCCTGGCCGCGGCTGGGAGATGTCACACTCAGCAACCACAGTGTCCATTTGTTCTCACCAGAGAACATTCAGGCGACTGGCCATCTAGAGATGACTTCTGCTAACATTTTTGGAGTATTTCTTTCCAGTGAGGAGCTCATTTAAAATATTTATTTTTTAAAAATGTTTTTGATTTTTAGAGAGAGAGGAAGGGAGAGGAAGAGAGATAGAAACATCGATGAGAGAGAAACATTCATCAGCTGCCTCCTGCATGCCCCCTAGTGGGGATTGAGCCTGGGTGTGTGCTCTGACTGGGAATGGAACCTGCGACCTCCTGGTGCATGGGGTGACACTCAACCAACTGAGCCACACTGGCTGGGCTCAATTTTAAATTTTAACACGTAACCATGAATAATAATACTATGTCTATAAGTTTGATTTATAAAGTGGGTTTTTCAACACATAGTGAACCATCTGAACACATCAGCATGGGAAACGGTGTCGCACATGAGGAGGGAGCCAGGGGTCAGGGCTGCCTGGTTCTGCGGGACATGCTGGGCGTGACCACCGTGCTCTCCCTGCACAGCGCGGTGCCGGTGGCCTCATGGCGCTCCTCGGGAGCGGAGGCAGTGTGTGGGTGTCCTGGGTTTTCCTAACAAAGGACCACACCCTGTGTCCTAAGCAACAGAGGGTTATTCTCTCCTGTGCGGGAGGACGCGCCAGAGGTCAGGGGCGGAGGCCGCGCCCTCGGGGGAGGCTGAGCAGGGCCCGTCCCGGATTCTGCAGCTTCTGGTGGTTCCTTGCCTCGGAGCAGCGTCTCTGTGCTCACAGGTGCTCCCTCTGTGTCTGTGTCCAAACTCCGCTGTTGTAAGGACACGGGCCACGCGGGGCTAGGGCCCCTCAGGGGCCTCATCTTAACCAATTTCATCTGCAATGACCCTCTTTCCAGATAAGGTCACCTTCTGAGCTCTTGGGGGTTAGGACTTCAAAAAATGAATTTTGGGGGGACAACATCCACCCACAACAAATGTCAATAAATATAAGTACAGGTTTGTAGTTGAGCAAGAATAGTTTCACAAAAATAGATTTCTGGTCAACTTTATTAAGGAGTAATTTACGTACAAATACTGCTCTCACTTAGTGTGAGCGAGCTCACCGCTCTGCCCGCCCGGCCTGGCCCAGCCCTCCTGACGCCTCGGCTCCTTCCCAGTAGACTAGGCTGTGTTTTCTAGTTTCATAGAAATGGGCTCATACCTTGTCCCTCTGTCTGGCTTCTTTTCTGCAGCGTAATTATTTTGAGATTCGGCCATGGGTGTGGAGGGATGTTCAGACAAGCTCAGGAGTGGGGGGTGGGCGAGGTGCCTGGCCTCCACCTGCACGGCCTGCCTCGGGGTGCACCTGCCTGTCTGTTCGCCTGTTGGTGCGCATTTGGGTGGATTCCAGATTTGACTGTTATGAGTAAAGCCGCTGTGCAAGTCCTGCGTGGATCTGTGTCTCCACGTCCCTTGGGTAGGTTCCTGGTGTTGGAATTGTCGGGTCCTAGGGTGTTTGCTCAACTTTGAGACACCGTCAAGCTGTCTTCCAAGGTGGCTGCCCATCTTACGTTCCCAGCAGCGGAGTGCGGTCCCAGTGCTCCCTGTCCTCGCTGACATTGGCGCGGTCCCTCCCCCACATCCCGGTGGGCTGACGAAGGTGAGCATCTTCCTGCGTGGCCACTCGTATGTCTTCTTTGTGACCTGTCTGTTCAAAACGTGTCCCGTTTAAAAAAAGTCTCACCAGTATAATTGCAAAGACCCGTTTAGTGAAACTGGGCCCAGACGTCCTCCTCCTCAGGAGGCTGTGGGAGCTGCCTGGCTTCTGGCGCCCAGATCCACAGTTTGGTTCTAGCGCTACAGTTATCTTGTTCCCACTTTAAACAACAGCTGTCTGTCAGATTACACTTTAAGGAAAACTTTAAGTAAGTTTAAGTTAAGCCTCACTGAAATGCAGAGGCGAAAAGTCAGAGGTGAGAGGCAGTGTGGTGATGTTTGAGAGGGACGGTCATGTCATATGAGCTGTTCCAAATTCTCGAATGTGACCCCTGCCCGGAAGCAGGGCGCTAGCGGTGTCCTGGGCCCTGCACAGACTGGTGCTCTCGTCCGGGTGGAACAGGGATGAGACGGCTAAATTGCATCCACTGTTTTACATTTTTATTACAACAAGTTGCCTCCCTGGCAGAGCTTCTTGGGGACGAAAGGAAAAATTACCCTGCCCTGCTCCCAGAGTTACGACTGAACACACAGTGCAGCTGGCGAGCCCATTCGGCAGTCTTCACGCCCCACGGCCCCTGTGATTCTGCAAGAGGGCGACTTCTTGGCCTTATCCAGGAAGCACTCGTACTTGCAATGAAAGCATCAGGCACATTGCCTGCCCAGACAGGACGGCCTGGGGAACCCCTTCGTTACCCACAGCCCGTTGGGTCATGTGTGGCGTCACCATGTCCCTGGCTGTCCATGGCAGGGCCACTCATGAGCCCCCAGCCCCATTCTGGCCAGCTCGACTTTGAGGGTTTGGTCTGGAACATGGATTCAAGTTCTTTTGGTCCCAAAGTGGTTGTTTCAAGGGGTGCCACACGTGCCCCTTGGGTGCATGAAAAGTGTCCTCTGCTCTGGGCAGCAGCACAGGTGATCAGGTTATCTGTCCATAGGTGTGAGCCCACAGGTTGTTCCTGTGAACTGATGTGTGTCCTGTGAACAGATGTGTGTTCCCTGGACAGGGGTGTGTGTCCCGCGGCCAGGTGTGTGTCCCGCGGCCAGGTGTGTGTTCATGGCCAGGTGTGTGTTCCGCGGCCAGGTGTGTGTTCATGGCCAGGTGTGTGTTCATGGCCAGGTGTGTGTTCGCGGCCAGGTGTGTGTTCATGGCCAGGTGTGTGTTCATGGCCAGGTGTGTGTCCCATGGCCAGGTGTGTGTTCATGGCCAGGTGTGTGTCCCATGGCCAGGTGTGTGTCCCATGGCCAGGTGTGTGTCCCATGGCCAGGTGTGTGTCCTGCGGCCAGGTGTGTGTTCATGGCCAGGTGTGTGTCCTGCGGCCAGGTGTGTGTTCATGGCCAGGTGTGTGTCCTGCGGCCAGGTGTGCCTCCATTGGATGATGCACTCCACCAAACAGGGCAGGTGCTCTGCTGCCCTTGCCCTCACACCATGAGCTTGCGTTCGTCTCCCGGGTGCCCTCACTTGTTGGTGGGTATATGACAGGACTGGCTTTGCTGTCCAGGTTACTTCCATTTTTAGGGTCACAGTTGCCAAGCAGTGACCGGGCAGCTGGCCATTGGGCAGCTGTTTTTCTTCTTTGGCCAGGTAGGCTGGACCCCACAGACATCTTCCTGATACTGAGAGATTTTCAAATGAAACACAAATGCAGCTGCCACCCTAAGCTTCCTGGGATGGAGCATGTCCCTGGATTCCCGCAGCCGATGAATCTACTGAGAGGATCACTACCTTCGATTACTTTTAGGTCCGTGTCCTCGTGCCTTTTTCCCTAATGAAAATGTCTTGTCTTCGCACGACAAGTCTCTATGAAGCACGTGGTTTTTAAGCTGTCCTGACTGAGGAATAACCTACTTCAGCACTGGCCGTGCCGCCTGTGAGGTTGTTACTCCTCTGTACACGGCGCTGAGCTCCCTCCCCCTTCCCAGAGGTCTTCCTGGTTCCTGGGGTCTGTTTCACTGGCGAGTAGAGATTTGTGCAGGTAGGAAAGCAGGTGATGACGCCAACACTTCCTCTGTTGCACACGGCGCTTTGGCTCTCCCATCGTGTGGCCAGCAATCAGTCGGATGCGCTAGTGGAGTGAGGTCACACTGGAGCAGATGGTCCCAGGCCAGCACGACTGGTGTCCTTATAAGAAGGGGCACAGGGACAGACGCGCACACAGGGAGATGCCGTGGAAGGGGGAGGAGGGGTGGGGATGGTCCACAAGCCACGGTGGCCAAGGGGTCAGCCACTGGCAGGTGCACCGCCCTCAGCCTTCAGCGGGAGGGACCTTGCTGACACCTCTGTCTGGATTCAGGCCTCCAGATGATGCTAGAACAAAATTCTGTTTTTTAAGCTGCCTGGTCTGTGGCACCTTGTCCCAGAGAAACCAAGGTAGGCAGCGGAGAGAGAGGATGTGGCACACAGGCTGGGAGACACAGGCAGAATGCACGGTGGAGGGGTGCCGCATGGAGATGAATAAGGTACTGCAGCTGCCCGAGGCCCCCCTGGGGTCCTGGAGGGTCCAGATCTGGTCCAGGGCCTCCTCCCGGGAGCTGGGGGGGGGGCAGGGGGGGGCAGCATTCTGGAAAGTTTAGAGTGAAGGCTGTGGCGGCTCAAGACTTCTGTAGGAAGTCTTCCCCTTTGTGTTTTGTTTTTAGGATGTTCCTTCAAAGGCGAGGACACAGGTGACTTAACCTAGATTTTCCGTTTGGGTAAGAACTTCGCTTCACTACTGATGGACATTGTCCTTGTTTCTGGAACATTTGCTTTGTGTTCTGAGAGTTTGCTGTATGTGTAGGATTCTGTCCAAAATTCGTGTCCATGCTGAGGGCCTTGAACCAGAACCTCCCTTCCCTGCCCCATCCTCGCCGGGCCCCCTGGGTCGGTGCTCCGGGCCTTCCTCCCACCTTCCTCCTGCACGCACCCCGGCCACCGGTGTGGGTAACTGCCCTTCTTGTCCCCACAGAGTCTGTAGGAGAGGTGACACCACGGCTTCCCAATGAACAACCGGAAGGAAGATATGGAAATCGCGTCCCACTACCGGCACCTGCTGCGAGAGTTGGACGAGCAGAGGCAGCACGGCGTCCTGTGCGACGCGTGCGTCGTGGTCGAGGGCAAGGTGTTCAAGGCCCACAAGAACGTGCTGCTCGGCAGCAGCCGCTACTTCAAGACGCTGTACTGCCAGGTGCAGAAGGCGTCCGAGCCGGCCACGGTCACGCACCTGGACATCGTCACGGCCCAGGGCTTCCAGGCTATCATCGACTTCATGTACTCTGCCCACCTGGCCCTCACCAGCCGGAACGTCATCGAGGTGATGTCCGCGGCCAGCTTCCTGCAGATGACGGACATCGTGCAGGCGTGCCACGACTTCATCAAGGCCGCACTGGACATCAGCATTAAGCCGGACGCCTCGGATGAGCTCTCGGAGTTGGAGATGGCTGCCCCGCCCGGCAGCAGTGCCGACGCGCTCATCTCCGCCGTGATGGCCGGAAGGAGCATCTCCCCGTGGCTGGCTCGGCGCTCCAGTCCCACCAATTCTTCTGGAGACTCGGCCATTGCCAGCTGCCACGAGGGAGGAAGCAGCTACGGCAAAGAGGACCAGGAGCCCAAGGCCAACGGCTCTGACGACCTGTCTTCGCAGGCGCTGTGGCCCGGCGACGCGGGCTATGGGCCCCTGCACATCAAGGAGGAGCAGAGCTCGCCCTCTCACTACGGAGTGAGTGAGCCGCCCGCGGCCAGGGATGGCTCGACACAGAACTCTTTTTCTGAGCAGGTCGGAGGGGATGGCTGGCAGCCCACGGGCCGAAGGAAGAATCGGAAAAACAAAGAAACCGTCCGGCACATCATGCAGCAGGTGGAGGACGAGAGCCAGGCCGGGTCCCCGGTGCCAGCCTTCTTGCAGACGTCCGGGCGGCCATTCAGCGGCCGTGACTCAAGTAAGCCTTTCCTTTGTTCCAGGGGGGCTCAGACACTGTGTGGGGGCTGTGGCTGCTCGCTTTGTAGACAAAGGGACACATTCCCAGGCTCACACGGGTGGCTTCCCCTGGTGTTTTACTCGCAGCCACTGGGATCACTGCAGTGGGGGCTGTAACTCGCTGTGCTGAGCCCGTCTTCACGCTGGACGATGCTTTGTGTCTGTTTCCCAGATGAGTAAATAGCAATTAAATGTTTACTGAATGTCAGGTGCTCTTCCTGGTGGTAATTCTGGTCACGCTGCCTTCTCAGTGGCACCTGGGGAATGAGCATCCTGGGGATTCGAGGGCGATGGTCAGGGTTAGGGGAGTCCTCTCCAGAAAGAGGTTAGAAATCAACTGAGTGAATGGACATAGATGGGCAGAAGGCAGCAACTGTGGGGTGATAAGCCCTGGAAATGTCACAAACGCCGTGTGCTGGTGGGGGCACCCACTCCCCTGCCCGAAGGCTTCGGGGACCCTGGGGGCTCTGTTCCCTCCTCCTCAGTGGGAAGAGTGCCGTCTGGCCCCGGGCACTGTCGCTTGCATCGCTGTTGTAAAATGCCCGAACCACAAACGACACCCTTGTACAGCTCACTGGCATTAAATATAGCCGCACTGTTGTGCAGCCATCACTATCCGTTTCCCAAACTTTCTCTTTATCCCCAAATTGCAACTCTGTATTCATTAAACAGTGGCGCCCAAGATACACTATAGCCTGAAGTATTCCTTCTCAGCCTCATGGCCACTGTGTCTGCTGGGTGCTGGGTTGACCAGGGTGTCGGCCTGGCTGGGTGACTTCGCGTGGGGTGTCCTGAGATGTCAGCCCCCTGGATGTCAGCCGGTAGCAACCGCCCCCTAGTTGTGACAACCAAAAAGTCTCCAGACACTGCAAATGTCCCTGAAAGGCAGCCCCAGGCCTGCTGGAGTTGAGCCAGACTCAGTGAGAAGGAGGGCGGTGTCTGAGCTGATAGGAACGCCACCCATCCCCCTGCTAGCAGTCGGTGAGGAGAGGGACAGCAGTGTCCCGTCTGCTCTTACCTCGGTGTCGCCATCCACCAGCTCTGATGGGACCTGACGAGCAGCAGCCCCCGGTGAGTGACCAGGACAGAGGCTTTGTCCCAAACCTGCTGAGGGTCCGTGCCAAGGGGTCACCTGCGCTGAGCTATGGGAGGCCTTGGACAGGAGAGCGTCTATGCTAAGAGACAGCAGCCTGCTGAGCCGTGGGCTGGAGGTTTTAAATGCACTTACCAAGCAGAAGGTGTTTTTAGAATCCAACAAGTGATTTTGACTGTGTACTCTTGTTAATGTCTTAAATCCCTTGGGTTACCAAGGCAACCGTGAGCTGCTCCTACTGGATGGTACCGAGTTGCTAAGACAGGACGGAGGTTGTGGGCTGGCGTGGGGCTGTCTGCCTGGCTCAGGGTGTCTGCTCACCCCGCCTGGCCTGGGCGGGGCCGGGAAGTGTGTGCTCCTCAGTGAGGACCCTTTATTTTCATGAAAGATTTACTGGAGCTTAGAGAAGAGTATTTTTTATTCCTGGCCTGCTTATGGAGAACAGGCCCTTCCCGAGGAACACATCACGTGGTCACCACCGTGTTCAGGGGGCAGGCATGGACGCTCAGGTGTCCAGTCCAGCGGTGGCAGCCCGTCCTGACCCCTCTGTGCCCCCTCAGCCATGCTGACTCTCGGGCCTATTACTGTTTGGAGTGATATTTTTCCTAGCTAAAGGCCAAGTGCATTCTAGCCTGCTGGCTTGCAGGGAAACATCCCGGAGTCACGTGTGATCACAGCATTTCATGTGTGTGTAGGTCGTGGGAAGTAGCATTGACATGTGCAGACACGTGTGCAGACAGTGATGTTCTGGGTCCAGAGGGACCTCATGCCAGGCCTGTTGTCCCCTCGCTCCCCGCGTTCCAGCCTCACCCTGCCTGTGGCCCCGAGGGGGCGGGTTTATACCCCGGGACCAGGAAGAGCCCAGGGGCTTTGCGCCAGGCGTTCCTAGAGGCCCCGCGAACACAGTGCTGGGCAGTGGGTGAGCCTGTGGGTTTAGTAAAGTAAATGTTCGCGCCTGAGCTGAGACCATGGCATCCTGGGGTGCGTGGGGCTGCAGAACAGCTTCTGGTGGGTGCTGGCGCTTCTCGCTGGCCACGCCCACCCGCAGCCTCTCTCTGGGCTGAGTCCGAGGCTCCCAGCCCCTCCGGGTTTGTCGGGTTTGTCGCTGGGGCTGAGGTGGGAGCCGGTCCGGTCCGAGACTGTGGCCTCTCTTCTTGTCCCTCCTGGAAGGTGGGGGGGGCGGGCGTCCCCCGACCAGCATGCCTGGCCATCCTGCCGTCCTGCACCCACAGGACAGCGGACTCTTGGAGAAGCTGGAACCGCCTGTGTTTGTTGGTTAACTGACAAGTGAGTTCTCGTGGCCACGCCCGGGCCAGGTCCTCCGGCCGGCCGGGGATAGGGAAGGTGCTCGGGAGCTTCTCCTACCCGCGTTGTCCTTCAGCCGATTTGATCATCTCTGTTGTAGAGAACCAGCTTGCTTAGTATTGCATTTGGGAGGAGAGAATCTGAATGAAAAGTAACCCTACATGCTCCCGCCAGTCCATCAGGGCGGGGCTGGCGGGATGGTGCTCTGTGAGGGCACGGGGGGGGGGGGGGGGGGGGCAAGGGGGGCCTAACTCAACCCCCCGGGGGAGGGGGCCGGGCCCACGGGGGGGGGGGGGGCCGCCCCGGGCCCGGGGCCCCCCGGGTTTTTGGTTGGGCCTCTGTGGGTTGGCCCCCCGGGGCCCACTTTGGGAAAAATCAACTAAAACCCCCCCGGGCTTTGCTGAGCGGCCAGTGTAGTTGCTTTTCCTTCTCAGGGCCCCCCGGACAGAGCTGGGGTCTCCCTGTCACGCTCCAACCAGAGGGAGCTCTGAGGAAGAGCTTGGATGTGTTGGGCTGACGAAGGACAAGGCCCTGGGCAGCCATGCCAGGCGGCTGGACACCGCTCGGGGAGGGGGTGCCCCAGGCCGCCGCCACGAGCACGGCTTCTTCCGCGCGCCACGAGTTTGTGTCCTTGGCGTCCACGCTGTGCTGGGTGCTGATGCGTCTTCTGTTGCCTGAAACTAGCAGCGCCTGTGTCACCGGCCTCTGGCCCACGGACGGCGCCGCTGCCGCTGCCGCTGCCGCTGCATGATGCGCTTCTGTGCGCTCTGCGCCTGTCTGTCTTGTGTTTCCATTTCTCTCGAGTAGACACCTCGGCATGGCGTGTCTGAAGGGCGGCTTAGGTGTTATAAGGAACAGTCAGACTTTTTCTCTTAAATATGTTTTTATTGATTTCGGAGAGGAAGGGAGAGGGAGAGAAGTAAAGAAACATCAGTGATGAGAGAGAATCTTTGATCAGCTGCCTCCTGCACCCCCCCCACTGGGGGGTCGAGCCTGCAACCTGGGCATGTGCCCTGACCAGGAATTGAACCCTCAACCTTCTAGTGTATGGAACGATGCTCCAGCCACCTGAGCCACCCAGCCAGGCTGTCTTTTTGTTGTTGTTAATCCTCACCAAGGATATTTTTCCATTGATTTTTAGAGAGAGTGGAAGAGAGGGGGAGAGACAGAGAGAGAAACATTGGCTGGTTGCCTCCCACAGGGGAACTTGCAACTGAGATACATGCCCTGGACCAGAATCGAACCCTGACCCTTCAGTTCACGGGCCGACACTCTAACACTGCGCCAAACTGGCCAGGGCTCGCTCTTTCTTTCTCTTTCTTTCTTTTCTTCCTTTCTTTCTTTCTTTCTTTCTTTCTTTCTTTCTTTCTTTCTTTCTTTCTTTCTTTTCTTTCTTTTCTTTCTTTTCTTTCCCTTCCTTCCTTCCTTCCTCCCTCCCTTTCTTTTTTTTGGAGGGCTGTCTTCTTAATTTTAACCACTCTAGTGAGTGAGTTTGATGAGTTTTGACAATGTTACACCTCTGTCGTCAGGAGAGAGACCATTTCCACCACCAAGAATGCTCCCTTCTGCCCTTTCAGTCAGCCCTCCCACACCACCTGTGTCCTCCCAGCAGCCCCTCCAGATGCCTCAGAGTGGCCAGCTTGAGAAGTACAAGCACAGAGCATCATTTTGAGACAATTGTAGATTAATGATCATTTGTAAGAAGTAATATGGAGACATCCTGTGTTCCTTCATGTGGTTCCCCCCATGGCATCACCGTGCAAATCACAGTCAGAATCACAGCCAGAATGTTGAGGCTGCTACAGCCCAGGACCTGAGCCCACGGCCCGCAGCCACCCCTCTGTCCATGTCTGTGACTCTGTGTGCTTTTGAGCCCCCTTCCCGTGGCTGTGGCACCGATAAGTCATTCCTCCGCTGCCCAGTGCTCTCTGCCCGTGGCTGTGGCACCGATAAGTCATTCCTCCGCTGCCCAGTGCTCTCTGCCCGTGGCTGTGGCAGCCGACCCCTTCGTTCAGCTGTGGGCCGTTTGGTTATTTGGGAGATTTTGGCCGTCACACCCAACGCCGCTGTGAGCGCCCGAGCCAGGCTGTGGCGCTCACCTCCTTGGGTGTCTGCTCCGGCGGCAGTGGGCCGGCTCAGGAGGTCACTGCCGAGTGGTGTGGCGTGTTCGTGGGCGTGGCTGTGACGGGGTCCTCCTGCGCTGGCTGGCCGCCAGCACCACTTGTGGGGACCATGTCCGCTTGTCACTGCTGAGTGGACAGTTCTTTGTGCGTTTTCTCCCAGTCTTTGGCTCAGTTTTATCTAACACTGTCTTCTGAGGAGCATACATTTAACATTTTGACCAAGTCCAATTTGTGAACTTTTTTTGTTATGGTTCATGCTTTTTGGGTCTCCTGCCCAAGATGAGTTTTTCCTGGAAGTTTATAGATTTAGGGGGAATAGGTAGGCCTGTGAGTGAGGTGCAGTCCGAGCCTGTGGGGCCCGGGGTGCAGCCGGGAGCGGCGGGGGCCCCACAGTGGCCCGTGGCGGCAGACGGGGTGGGCCTGACAGGAAGCCCGTGGCCCTGGCTGCTTCCCACCGGAGAGGCTTGAAGTGACCTGCACGTTCTGTTTCCTCCCAGATTCAGACTTGACCGTCACCGAGGCCAGCAGCTCCGACAGCCGAGGGGACAGGATGGACCTCTGTGCCCACGTGGACGAGGGTCTCCTGGGGGCAGAAGCCAGCTACCTGGGCCGGCCCCTCACCCCCGAGAAGGACGAGGCGCTGCAGCAGGCCACCGCGGTGGCCAATCTGCGGGCGGCGCTCATGAGTAAGAACAGCCTGCTGTCCCTCAAGGCCGACGTGCTCGGGGACGACAGCGCCCTCCTGCTGGAGTACCTGCCCAAAGGCACCCACTCCCTGTCTCGTAAGTGCAGGCCCCGCGGCCACTTCCGTGTGATTCTGAGTGTTGAGAGGAGCAGAGGGCGTCGGGCCCACGGGTGGCGGGTGTGGGCGTCGTGCGGGGGCTGGCGATCAGTCCTGGGTCCAGTGCCCTCAGTCCCCCTGAAGTCGTCAGGTCACACATATGGGGTTGTCAGGGCAACAGGGAGGGCCGTGCATGCTTGTTCAGACATTTCCTACTTGAAATTGAGAATCTAAACCTAAAACCTGCTCGAGCTCAGAAGCACACAGGAGCGCTGAGCAGGCTGGGGGCGCAGCCCTGTGCGGTCAGGAGGGGGCAAGGGGCAGCCTCCGACCTCCAGCCTGGCTCGTCCCCCCGGGAGATGCGAGGAGGGAGGCCAGGGTGGGCTTCCGGCTGTGTTGGCCCGAGGTGACGCTGGTCGCACGGGCTGTTAGAAAGGACTTGGGTGCTGTGTTAAGTGCCCCCTGCATTCCACTTTCTCAGAGCACATGGCTCTGAGATGTCCTCCAGCAACACCGGGCGCTGGCTTGTGCACCCCACCTGCCCTCGTGCCCACTGCGTGCCAGCCGAGCGTGAGCCCTCCCCCGCCTCACAGGCGTTCTGGGGACACTGGTGGTTGCTGCCCATGTGCGGGCACTGAGTGTGTCACCAGGGAGAAACCTCGTGTCTGGCTGCTCTCCCTGGGGGAAGGGATCCCCACACGGGAGGTGCTGAGTGTGGAAGATATGAGGTGCCCCACGCCGGGCGGGCGCTGAGCACCGCGGGGTGAAGGACGGCCTGCCAGCACCAGCTGGGCCTTGGGACGTGTATCTTTGTTTTCAAAAACACTATTTTATAACTTTGTTTTCATGAGCACTAAAATATTCAAGTTTTTGTGTTAGAGTGATAAAAACTGCTTAAGGCCAATAAAGACTGACACTGGAAATAATGTTTACGCCCCTTTATTTCCGTGGCTGAAGTAAGGCTGCTGCCAGGCCGGAGCGTGGTTGTGATTCAGACCGGAGGCTAACCAGCGTTGGGCATGCTTTTAAAAACACATTCAGGCCTCATTTTCTGCATCTGAAATTGGGGATAGTGTCTCCTACACAGCTGTCTTGAACTTAAAACAAAACAGTGTTTGCCCTGGCTGTGTGCTCAGTGGTTAGAGTGTCGGCTCAAGGACTGATGGGTGGTGGGGTCAATTCCCAGCCAAGGGCACGTACCTGGTTGCAGGTTCCATCCCCCATCCCTGGTTGGGGTGCATGCGGGAGGCAACCAGTTGATGTGTCTCTCTCACATCGATGTTTCTGTCTGTCTCCCTCCCTTCCACTCTCTCTAAAAAGCAGTGGAAAAAATATCCTCAGGTGAGGATTAACAGTAGATAGATAGAAAGATAGATAGATAATAAATAAATAATATAAAACAAAACAAAACAGCTTTTGTAAAACGCCGAATCCTTAAGCCGAGCGTGTGCGAGTCGCTCCAGGATGTCAGCCCTTTGAGTGAACGCCGGGACCTGGCAGAAGCAGCAGATGGAGCTGGTCCGGGACATGGAGGTGTTGTCTCGGGGCCTTTGGGCGCCTCGCACTGACACTCGCAGGTCCAGCAGCTGGACACCCAGCCACGGGGATGACTGGCAGGGTGTGTGGGTGTGAGGAAGGGCAGGCTGGGGCTGGGGGACTAGGAAGCTTCTGTGCTGCCCTCATGTGGCTGATCTGTCCTGGTCGCCAAGAATGATGCTTGGGGTGAGTGTTGCTTTTTGCCGTCTCTGTCTGGCAGCTTTCGCCCCAGCGCGGGCTTTGCCACATCTGTGCTTTGAATGGGGCCCAGGGGTCTGCTAGCCCCCAAGCCCCGATGTCCCCCTCCAGTCGAGCAGGGTCACCCCTGTGCCGGGCCTGACTGGGCTCCAGGACCAGGCGGCTGCGGCCGCCCTGGGTGGCGTCTCCCTGCCACCTCAGTTTCTCCGTCCGCCCCTTCCCCAGCAGAGGCCCTAGATCACCCTCACAGCAGGTCTCACATGAGGGGAGGTCACGGGATGGGCGGGGACCCCATGATGAGGCCTTTCTGGGCGGATTTTTCTCTTCAGGTCTTCCTCTCTCACATGCGCTTGCTGTCTGCCGTGATTAGTCCGCCGTGTGTTGGAGCGAGGGCGGCCACACGCGCTCCTCGTGCCTGTGAGCACACGTGTGAGTCCTGTCACACGCGGGTCCTCCGCCACCTCCATGTCTGGTGTGTCTGTGACTCATTCCAGGTGAAGCCGGCGCCTGAGGTTCTGCATTCTCTTATTTCTGTTGTGCTTTGACCTCCTTGCTTTTGATATTCTAAATTCACCCCCTTTCTCATGAGAATCTGCCCATTTCTGTAAATAGAGTGAGAAGTTGGCAAAGTTCGTGGGCTGGGCTCTGAGCTGTGACGTGGGCTGTGGTGGATACCACGTCTGCCTGGACGCCGCCCAGCCGGTCAGCAGCAGCAAGGCCGTGGGAGCTGCTGGGGATGGTTACTTCACACATGATGCTCTGACATCCCAGTTAAAACGGCCTGTTTTGCCCGGCCGGTGTGGCTCGGTGATTGAGCACCGGCCTATGAACCAGGAGGTCATGGTTCAATTCCCAGTCAGGGCACATGTCTGGGTTGTGGGCTCGATCCCCAGTGTGGGACGTGCAGGAGGCAGCCGATGAATGATTCTCTCTCCTCACTGATGTTTCTATTCCTTTCCCTCTCCCTTCCTCTCCGAAATCAATAAAAACATATTACAAGAAACAAACAGCCAGCCCTGGCCGGTTTGGCTCAATGGATAGAGCGTAGGCCTGCAGACTGAGTACCAGGGACCAGGTTTGATTTGGTCAAGGGCATGTACCTCAGTTGTGGGCTCGATCCCCGGCCTTGGTCGGGGCGTGTGTGAGAGGCAACCAATGTGTCTCTCTCACATCGATGTTTCTCTCTCTGTCTCTCCCCCTCCCTTACTCTCTCTCTAAAAAAATTAATGGAAAAATATCCTCAGGATTAACCGAAAACAACAATAATAACAAAACAAAAAACAATAACCAAAAAATAAGTAAAATAGAAGCTGCCTGCTTCTGGCCGACGCTAAAGTACAGATGTCGGTTTCCCCAAATACATGGTGCGGAGCCCCAGGCGTCTTCTCCACCGCACTGTCTCTGGGCCACGTGGGCGGCGGCTCCATTGAAGGTGCCATGAGGGACGCCCCACAACCTCAGGGGCGTCGGGGCTGAGACGCGTGGTGCACAGGGCCTCTCCCAGGGACCCTCACCCTGTGGCCTGCAGACCTCGACCCTGGGGAGACCAGGGTGGTGCCTGCTTGGAAGGGACCTGAGCTCACGTTTGCAGAAGGAAAAGCAGCCTCCCACTGGGCTCCACGGCAGAGGCCTTGCCCTGCTCTCGGCTGCCCGTGGACACACTGCCCAGCAGAGCCCTGTGGGGGCCGGGCCTGTCCCCAACCTTCCCGGCCCTGGAGGGGACGTCGTGGTGCTTGGTGTGGTCTGATCAGGGCAGTTTTGCAAAAAAAAAAGGGACAGTCATTGCAGATGTGTGAGGGAACCATTAGCGCTGCAGCTGGAGCCCAGGTCCTTCCTGGCTGGTTCTGGAGCCTTCCACAGAGTGCCCTGTTTTCAGAGGCCTCAGCCCCACAGCTGGTCTCCTCACCAGGCCGACGCTTTCACCGATTGCTCCCTGAGAAGACTTTTCAGTTCTCATTCTGACTCAGATGAACTTGACTCTCATGTTGATGACATTTCAGCAGCAGCTAAAGTCCTGCCTGTTAGTCGTTATTGTTCACTGAGTGGAAACCATGAAAAGCATCATTCGTGGCTCAAAACACGTCCCTGTTTGGGGAGTGGTGTTCGGGGTGCAGTGATCGGGAGGGACCCTGACCTGTGTGTTGCTTTCTTGGGCCCTTAAAAGTGCTGTTTGGCCGAAACCGGTTTGCTCAGTGGATGGAGCGTCGGCCTGTGGACTGAAAGGTCCCAGGTTCGATTCCGGTCAAGGGCATATACCTGGGTTGCAGGCACATCCCCAGTGGGAGATGTGCAGGAGGCAGCTGGTCGATGTTTCTCTCTCATCGATGTTTCTAACTCTCTATCCCTCTCCCTTCCTCTCTGTAAAAAATCAATAAAATATATTAAAAAAAAAAAGTGCTGTTTGCATAGGGGTCCCTGGCCAGTTCCCTGGGGACACCCTGCAGACAAGCCAGGTGGGGCAGGTGGGGCACGGTCCTGGTGCCATGTGGGACCCCATGTTGTCCCCACTGCTGAGCACCTCCCGTGGGGAGGGGGCCTTGCCCGGGTCGGGGCGAGCGCTGGGCCTGCACGCGGGGCAGCTCTGCAGTGGCCCGTTCCTGTTCCCTATTGGTCAAAAATTCCCCTGTGCTGAGCCCATTCCGTGGGAAGGGGCTTTTCCCGGGTCGGGGCGAGAGCGGGGCCTCCCCGCGGGGCAGTTTTCCAGAGGCCCGGTGTGTGTATGTGTGTGTGTGTGTGTGTATGTGTGTGTGTAACAGGGGGGGGGGGGGGCGCTGCGGCCGCTCTGGTTCAGGTTGCAGTTTGAGGCACGTTTCCTGTGTCGGACACGGGGATTTTAAAGTTTCTTGTGAAAGGGTGTTGGTTGTGAGTCCAGCTCGGCCCCGTGACGCTCGTCTCAGGCCGTTTCTCAAGGCCACAGGTGTGACCTCGGGACACAGCCGGACGTGCTGGGTGACCAGCCGCACCCCAGTCCGGTGTGGAGCCTGCGGCACCCGCTGGCGCCAGAGGGAAGCTGAGAAAAGCACCCAAATGCCCACCCACTCGGCGAGCCCCAGGCTGCGGCGTGCCTGGCGGCGCTCATCGCGGGAAGGTCCAGGCGCGCCTCCGGAACGCGCTCAGTCCCACCAGCCCGCTCGCTCGCTCCCTCCCGGGCTGAGCCTGGCTTCCTGTTCCCAGGGCCTGACACCAGCCCAAGCCCCCGGGGGAGGGACAGAGCAGCCCCTCACCCTCTGCTCAGCTTGGATGCCGAGGCCAGGACAGCCAACCCCC